CACATTTGAGAGGGTAATCTCAACAGAGTTTCTCGAAATACTCAACTTCTTTTCCCTCCGATAATACCTCTGCAAACAAGCCACACCAGAGCAAGAGTATCTCATATCATCAGGGTTAAAAGCAAGAGTATCCCATATCATGCTTTTTCCCTGTCTTTTCCTTTAGCCTTGTTCTTACCTGCAAGACGAGGAGAAAGAGAGCAATCAGTTAGCACTTGGAATCAAGTTTCCAGTCAGGAATTGACTGCTTGGAACCCTTTGCCTGATTACTTACCTGGCATTGTTCTCGAGTACTCATCTTCAACATCTTATGCTTCCAAAGAAGATACCACATCCGCCTAAGGAACAGATAAGGCAAGTAAGAAGAATACAAGAAAGCATGTGGAGACAAGCGTAACAGAACACGTGTCGATACATCCACTACTTTCTCAACAGCAAAAGTATCCCATATCATCAGGATCGAACGTACTCTGAATTTGATAGACTTGTTTTGACCCTCAAATTCTTGAGTCAGCCTTATACTCCGGAGGAAACCAGAAAACCCTCCAGCCCAGTTCAAGAATAAGCCTGTGGAAAGTTACTTCTTCAAAAGAAAAAGTATCTCATATCATATCTTCTCCATTTGCTTCTCCTTATCCTTGTTGCTGTTTACGACACAAGGAGAAGGAGAACAATCAATCGAAAGCCGAAGTCGAACCTCCGATCCAGGTTGCTTGCTTGGAAGTCTGATTGCTTACCTTATCTATTGCCTTCTTCGGCAAACCTCCTAACTCGGCGACTTGGGGGACTCCTACTATAGGGTTTATATCGCACTTGACCAAGCCTGAAACTATAAGTAAGCTTCAAGTGAAATTGATACATTACCTTGTGCATCTTCATCGGTTAAAGATACCACCCCTTGATGGAGGAAAAGTACTTCCAGAGAAGATGCCACATTTACATATGAGACAGATAAGGCAAGTGAAAATGATACCACACTTCGGTACTTAGAAGTTTCGTGATTACTCAATGGCTTGGATCTTGCAAGTCCCCAACCGAGGAGTTTCCCTCACTTGGGAACTTAGGGGAGCACTGTTTGTATCATGCTTGACCAATCCCGAAACTACTGAGCACCGGTCAACGTTATACCGTCAAGGACCTAGAAGAGTTTCCTTCCAACTAGAAGGCCAATCACAGCGTGACACGTGTCGACATCAGAAGCCAATCATAACGCGACACGTGTCAACATCAGAAGTCAATCACAACACGACAAGTGTCAATGTCAGAATGAAACTAGAAACTCTTTTCTATAAATAGAGATCATTCTCTCACAATATTTCCTAATGTCATTTGTACTAAATCATTTACCAGTACTCACTAAAGGAGAGCTTGAACCTATGTACTTGTGTAAGCCCTTCACAATTAATGAGAACTACTCTATTCCGTGGACGTAGCCAATCTGGGTGAACCACGTACATCTTGTGTTTGCTTCCCTGTCTCCATCCATTTACATACTTATCCACACTAGTGACCAGAGCAATCTAGCAAAGATCACAAACTTAACACTTTTTGTTGTACTAAAGTCCTCACTGATTTTGTGCATCAACAAGGTACATTAATTCAATATAATATTTTTCGGTACTAACACTTTGGTGCATACATTTCGGTATACACATTTAGATACATAAATAATTAATTTAATATAATACATTTCAGTACATACATTTCGGTACTAACATTTAAATATATTAGTTCAATATAATACATATCGGTACTAACATTTAGGACAAAACAAATACAGATTCAAGAATATCATCCCCTTGTTTATATTTGAATAAACAATAAGTTTGAATTGTTTGATATAATGGAGGTACAGCAGGATGCCATTGATTGGTTGATGCAACTACTTGTGCGAACCCCTACTTGTGATGTAAAAGGATGCATTTTAATAAATCCCAGTGCCAATTCTGCTTTCTTCATGTGGGGTAACTGATGCTTGTTTAATTTCAAGCATTGGTTTCTTCATAATTTAGGAGTTTAGTTTGTCCTTGAATAGCTTTTGGAGCTCTCTATCTAGTTTATGCTCACGGGTGGGAAGCTCTTCTAGAAAGAGTTCAAGAACGTATATATATTTGGTTCCCACGCCTATTCATTAAACAACGGAAAAACCCGAATGCAACATATATTAGTTATGCTTATAAGACCATCTCAAATGTATGAGGTCTAAATTTTGGAGCCAAATATTTAAGCTTTTCAAAATTTGGAATCTGGACCTAAAGTAGCTTTTAGGCGTGTTTGGAAGTGCTTTTAAAATGACTGAAAACGATTTTGGAACTAATTTTTAGTAAAAATAGAAGTGAATCCTGGATAAGCACGTGAAGTGTCCTACAAGAAGTACATAACTTGTGTCTCTTCTAAAATTCACTTTAAGTGCTTTTAGAACCCAAAAACACTTTCACCAAAAGTGCTTTTGGAACTAATTATTTTAGTAAAAATGCAAGTAATTCTGAATCAGCACTTGAAGTGTCTTGGATAAGTACTTAAAGTGTCTTGCAAGAAACACATAATGTCTAGGCAAGTAAATTTTGAATTAGTAGCACTTGAAGTGTCTTGGATAAGCACTTAAAAGTGTCTTGCTAGAAGCACATAATGTCAAGAGTATCAATCCCACATCGAGGAAAGGAGGGACGTTGCGTATGCTTATAAGAAATTGATTTTATGGTAGAACTTCAACTTTGTTCACATAATTGGTGCTTCTTCCAAAATGTACTTCAAGTGCTTTTGTAGTCCAAAAACACTTTTACTAAAAACGTTTTCAATCATTTTAAAAGTATTTCAATCCACTAGTGTACAATTTAGGCCAAAAAAAATTTGTCAGGCAACAGTGTTAGCTTTATTTTTTTTTCGGTTAACTTCTTTTGAAGTAATTTTGATTTATTTTTAATTAAAATTTAAATTAAAAATTCAAATTATGACAATCACAAAAATGACCCCTTTGAACGCACACCAACCACACTTCAATGACACAAATGTTTGATATAGAAAGAAAATATTTGAAAAAAGAAAAACAACAAATGTTTGATAAGGCATTAGTCCTTCAAGTTACCATATGGATAAGAAAATCATGTTACATTATCATGCTGTTTGAATCATGCATGTAAGTAACCTAGTTACTTAATAATGGAAATGAATAATAATGACAATTATGATAAGCCTTCGATATATTTTATCTCCGCCATTATCCCTCCTCATTTGAGATCGTCTTTCTTCGAGTCCATCTCTGTTCAACACTTCATGATAGAAAAGCATTACTTTATGTTTATCCATTGACACTTTGAAGTCATTCTACACTCTTTTTTTTTTAATGCAAATTTCTCTTTATATTTTGAACAATTAGAATGAATAATCTGTTTTTGATATTTGGTTGCAAAAATGATGAACGTTTATTATGTCGTTATTATATTATCGTTGCATCAATGTTATGTCTTCAATACATAAACAATACGTTGTCAATCATTCTTGCAACCAAATCTAATTGTTTAGAGTGCATAATAATATATTTTCAGTACTTAACAACGCCCTTGTATTATGTCACGGCACCAAACTTTCAGCCTACCATAAGTTGGAACGATCGAACTTTTTCCCAGTCATTCGGATTTTGAGTTTTTGGACTTGATGGTCTTTAGTTGGAGGATCAGTTCTCTGCATGTTTTTCCGGTCTTCCCCCAATCCTAGACGGCAGCCGAACGATAGGCCCAACATTAGAGAGAGGCGAGGAAAATAAAGAAAACAAATATGCCCAGACCTATTGCTGCATTATTAAGCAAAGCCCACATAGAAAGAAACGTTAGCCCATGAATCCTAAAAGCATCTCCAACAGTATTGTTAAATTTTTGATATTTTAGTGGGTGAAGAGTATCAAATAACTACTTTAACTAGTCTCTTTGATTTTTTTTATCTCGAACAACACTTTTTATTTTAACAAATTTTGAATATTTATATCAATCATTTCAAAAAGAAAACTCAATTTACTCATTTTCTAAAACCACCTTCTATCTTCCTTTTCTCCTTGGCTTACGGGTCCATCCTTCAATTTTATTAAGTTTTTTATATTTAACTTATGAGCAGTTGCTTTGTAAACTTAAAGGGTATTTGTTTGATAGAAACACTTGTATGTTGGAGATGAGATTTTTAGAATTGACTTTTTAAAATAAAATTTTAATAATTTTACAGCTTCTCTTAGATGCTATATAACAAGTTTAGAGTCTGTCATTTCGATGTAAAACAAAAATCAGGACAAAAGACAAGCTACGTGGTTCTAGAAAGCAAAGAAATAGGGAAAGGCCAGTTGCATACAAGAATGCTTAACTTTTGTTATGATTATTGGGGGAAATTATGTATAATTGTGTATTGAGTTGGACCAAGACCGAAGCCCTTTGTGTAGTGTAATATAACTTTTGGAATTAAGTCTGGACTTGCATGAGAGGTGAACTGATTTGAAAAGTGTAAGATTGAGAGCGGATTTCGAAATTTACCCTCCATTTAATGAAAGTTCAAATAATTCGTAAATAAAAAGTATAAATTGATACAATTATAAAAACTTATACTATAATATGAAAAAATTAAAATTTAACAACCAATTGATACAATTTTAAAATCTTAATTCTTATTTTTATTTCTCATACAAAATAAAATTAAAAACACAGCTAATGAAGTTGGATCATTAATTGATGCATGACTTGACTTGCTGTTTCTGGGCAGATGACTGGAAAAGATCAACCTCCCACTTCACAACCACACATATAAAACCTAACTTGAGGAAATATTTAATACCCTTTTCAGATTCTTTGACAAAAAAATAGAGATGATTCTGCGAAAAAATCTGAACCTGACAATGAATTTTTATTTTATTTTTAAATGATAGATTTTATTCAATCAAATTTAAATGACAGATTTTATTCAATCAAATCTAATTGATAAGTTCAGATACTCAACAAGAATATTAAAAACAAAATCGAAACTAATACAATCCCAAATAAAAATTCCCGCTACAGATTGCATGAAAGTTGCAACAATGTGCGCTGCTCTGTTGGTTTCTCGATGAAAAAAACACATACTCCACAGATTCCATGTATCGTGCAAAATACCTTCCAGTTTGCGCATCAAAAACCATTCTTCTATTAATCATACGAACAACCTCCTGAGCATAATTACCTTTGTAAATCCATCTCTCCTGCAGCCCCATAGCGCATCCCTTACCGCCACCGCCTCAGCCATCTGAGCATTAGATGCTTCACCAAACTAAAAACCCAGAATGTCCTAATTAATTCCATAAATAAAATTTAAAATTTACATATAATCAACATCTCATTGGAGGAAGATCAGAACCCTTTTCATCAACATCCGGCTTCTTCTTAAAAACCCTACTCCCAAAAAGCAAGAACCCAACAGTATGCCCAGCCACCGCCACAAGAAACACCCCCGCATTAAACGACATGACGGCCAACATCACCAAATAAGCCAACCCAACCCTAATTGCATGCAAAAAAGTCTGTGCCAGTCCAGAAATGACGTCGCTTGCGCTGGGTCTGATCAGACGGCAGTGGGAGAGCCACTCGACGAGGACAGCTAGGGCAAAGACAAAGAATAAGGATACGTAATACATGCCGGTGTTTGTGCCTGGCCATTTGGAGAAGAGTACTTCCGCCTTTGTGCCCCAAAAGAAGGTCATGTGCATCATCATCGTATGGTGCATCGTCGTACCGTTCGTCATGGATGATGGTGGTGGTGGTGCCATACCACCCATGCCATGGCCATGATCCATCCCTTCCATCTCTATCTCTCTCTCTGGGATTTGCTTCTCTCTCTAAATTTTGCTTCTGTTGGGGTGTTAAGATGAGTGAGGGCGCTATCCTTTGCATTTACTTCGGGTATTTATACGTTGTTTGGGTATCTGATGAGTCTCTGATAGTACATCGGGGCTCGTAATATGTCGTACAAAGGTTAAAACTGAACTGGGAAATTAGCATTTTGGTAAGTTACAGTGCAACCATAGGAAATTATACAAGTGATTGAATGACAAAAAAAAATAAAAAATAAAAAATTAAAAAATTAAAAACCATTATTTAAAAAAATTGTACACACCACTTAGTACTACGGTCTCTTCACTCGTAAGTAAGGGTTTTAAGTTCGACTATCGCCAAAAACAAATTTAAGCTACATTATTATTAGTCCATTATGAGGCTAAGGGGTGGGTGAGTGTGCTAAGCCTCACCGCGGGCTAGCCATAATAATTTGGTTCGAATTCACTTTTGGCAAAAATTGAACCTAAATCTCCCATTACAAGTAAAGAGAAAGACCAATAAACTATAGTACTAAGTGATTTTAGGCAAGTTAGTTACACTCATGTCGACAGCTACCGTTTGAATTTTAGAAAGAAAAAAATACACAGTTGAAATTGCCATTTTTTCTTTATTGATGATATATTTTTCTTTAATCTGGGGTTCGGGAATTGTCAATTAATTTTGTTAATATGGCATGGACCATGGTGGTGCACAGCACTCTCAAACAAGAAAAAGAAATAACTACGAAAATGGAAAAGACATGTAGCGCACGGCTCGGCACGGCATGTATTTGGGCAAAATAAGAGATATACTGCCTAAGTCGTTTTGACGTGGCCAGCGGTTGTCCAAGTCGTTTTGGCGTGGCCAGCGGTTGCCCAAGTCGTTTTGGAGCATCCAGCGGTGATGGATGACATGATGACAGTACAAAATAGACAGCCAAGAGATGAAATAGAAGAGTGCAGTAGTACAGAGATCGGACGAACAGTACACAGTCCGGTGTTTTACGGTTTTACCTTACCATAAGGCAAAAATTGACATAGTCAATTTGCTAGATGTTTAGCTAATTATTTCGGAATTAATTACACTAACGCTCCTGAAGTTTATCGAGTTTATACAAACCTCTTACGCATGGCCGGTCTAGAGATTTTTGAGGTCCAGGGTAACGCCAAAAAATGTGCCCTCACTTCATATAATTGTTTTTTTGTTTTTATATGTAAGACATCGATAAAATTATATTTAGAAAATCACTTCAAACTCAGTAATTTAGAAACATGGAAAAACTTAATTTATTTTGTATCGAGATAAAGAAACAAAAAACCTTCTAGCTTACAAGTAGATAAATTATGAGTTTTGTCTTCCATAAGTGTTTTGGTATAAATCGTGAGGTGTTTGTTCTTATTTACTAACCTCGTCAATATAAGATTAAAAAATAATGATATTTTCGAGTCTTTAAGGATATGTATAAGTAATGAATGGGCACTAAATGAAACCTTTTGATGACACGTTATATGATTTGCAAATTTGGTCTAAAAATTTAGTTTATGCATTACCCTTTGTTGAAGATTAGACTTGAATTGGAATGAATGTTTAAAAATAGCAACCCACATAGTTACTAGCTAGTAATTAAAAATAAATTAACAACCAAACAAAAATTTGTAATAATTGAAAAAAATAAACATGCACATAGCATTTCGAACTTAGGACCTCTAGTTAATTTTAAATTACAAAAAACCATTGCTTCTAATTAAATTTCTGATCATTTAGCCAAATTTTATAAATTTAAACTGTTATGAAAAGAAATTTGTAAAAATTGAAACTTCAATAAGCACACATGATGTTTTGAACCCAAGACCTCCTCATTAATTTCAAACAACAAAATCACTAGTTCTAGTTAAATTTCTTTGTCATTAAACCAAATGTTATAAATTTATACTCTTATGAAAACGTATATAAATATGCCACACTAATAATTTTGGTGCCCTTAATTTTTTTGGGACCTGGATGGTCGCCCTGCTTACACTGGGCATGGGCCGGCCTTACTCTTACGTTTGAGACATTACACTAATATTCTCTCAGGTTTTAATTCATTTTCACACAACCCCCACTACTACAAAAAACACTTTGCGCAACGAAATAAGTTTGTTGCGCAAAGTATGATTTTGTCACTCAAAACCTTGCGACACGAAACTTTTGTCGTGCATGGTTCGTCGCACAAAGCTCGTGACAATAGGGTTTGTGCGACGAAAATTAATCCTCGTCGCGCGAAGGTACTTTATGTGATGAAATATTTCGTCGTGCGAAGATTATTGGTTTTGTATTTTTTTTATTAAATTAAATTAATTTAATATTTTACGCGACAAAATTAATTGTTTGCGTGACGAAATATTTTGTAGCGCAAGGCTTTTGACTTTTTGTTTTATTATTTCTCTTATTTTAATTTAATTATATTAATTGTTTGCACGACGAATTATTTGGTAGCGCAAGATTTTTCGAATTTTTACCTTTTTAATTTTATTTAATTGTATGACTTTATTTTTTAATTACTTTAATTTAAATTGATATATTCAAAATAAAATTACATATGAAAAATAGTGATCAAATTATCCAATATATATAACATATTTAAAATGTACACATAAATTAACAAAGTACAGTAATAAACTCCTAATACAAGTCTATTGTGGTGGTAGTGGTGGGGGATATGGTCCGATAGCGTCCTAATCCTCAACTTTCGCTGTCAAAGTCTCAATGATTCCGTACGAACAAAACAAACATGGTCCAATAACAAAAAAAAAACATAAAATAATACCAAAAAATCGGCATAATCTCCCCTAAAATTGGCATACCCCAAATCCTACCCCAAACTCCACCCCACACCAAACACAATTAATTAACTCCAAAAACACATATTAAGGAAAGAAAAAAAAAATTTGGGGAGAAAATACCTTTTAGCAAGATTGAGAGTGAGTGAGAATGAGAGAGATGAGTGAGTGTGAGAGAGTTAAGAGGAGATAGTGAGAGAGAGATGAGATAGTGAGTGAGAGTGAGAGATAGAGAAGAGAGAGAGAAGAGAGATTAAGTGAGAGGAGTGAGTGTGAGAGAGAGGGTTGGATTTGGGGAGAGGGAAAGAGAGGAGAGGTAAGAGAATAGAGAAAGACATTGAGAAAATTGTGGAGGAGTTATGTTGGTTTTAAAAACTGTAACACTTTGCGCGACGAAAAATTGGTCGCGCAAAGTCTTGAAAAAATTAAAAAAATAAATTTCCCGCGTCCCAATTTTGGAGCCGGCCCAAATTTTTAGGGTTTTGTGTTACGAAATGTTGGTCGCGCAAAGTTTTGCGCGACGAAAGTTTGTCTTGCAAAGTCTTAAAAAAAAAAAAATCCCTCACCCCATTTGTAGTGCCCGCCCAAATTGAAGGATTTTGCGCGATGAAATATAGGTTCACCACACAAAATTTTTAAATTTTTTTATAAATAATAAAAAAAAGAAAATAATTTTATTTTAAAATTTAAAATATAAATAAATTAAAATAAATAGGGTTTAGGAGACCAAATGTTGATTCGTCGTGCAAAGAAAATAATGTGATAACCTGTTCCTAATTTTACAATTTTATTAATTTTTAAAAGAGTGAATTGACGAAAGTGACCTACTGGCAAGATTGTTGATTTTCATTGACCGTCATTTAGTGACGCGTGCAAGTTACTATTTTATCGTACTCTTAAAGTTCTTAAAGGGACGATTGCGTAAGCGTAATCTGAATCGAAACCGGAGTTACGATAGGAGTTTTACAGAACTACAAATCCGAAAAGTACTTTTGTAAATATCACTATTTATTATTTTATATATTTCTTCTAATTATTATATTATTATTTTGTGAGAAATGAGGAAAAAAGGAAGAAGGAATCGGATAGGAGGAGAAATAGAGGAGGAAGAAGGGGGTAGAGCTACCCAATCGGGGGAGAAGAGAGGAGGACTGACCAATGAGAACTAGGAGAAAGGAGAGAAAGGAGAGGGAAGAAAAGGAGAGGAACTGGGGGAAATCAACCTAGCTAAACCGGGTCATTCCTTGACCCGCGGCCCGACCTTGCAGAAAACCATGATTTCCGACGCCTTTTCAGGCGATTCGTAGCCACCCACCACCAGCAAGTCACTCAACATCATCACCTTTTTCATTTCCACCAAAAACTCGATAAATTTTAGCCTTGGTGTCGTGAAGATCGCGTCAATGGGTTTCATGGGTGCCCGACGACAATCGGTCGATTCTGCATGAACCATCGTCGACCACTACCATGGTTCAACTCTTCTTGAACCTAGGAATAAGTCCCAAGCCTTGGTTGGTGTGGCGGAGTACCGGAGGTGTCAAATTGAAGCTCACCCATTCTAGGGTTTTCGATAGGTGCGAGCCAATTTGGGGCCTTTCCCAGCCAAATTGGACTTGGCCACATGTATAAAACTTGCTCTACTAGTTAAGATCTTCATTCCTATAAAATTTGAGAATTTTTGGAAATAGTTGAATTTTCCGGCAAGTCAGGGTGGCCGGCCTCCATGTGCGACGGCGCGTGGGCAGAGACACCACTTGACTTCCCTAGGCTAAAATGGGTGCCCCAATTCCATATTAGACATCCAATTGACGAAATCCCGTTGTTTGGTTATATTTCCGTTAAGGGCCACCACTTGGTTATTTATATGATTCGACGATCCGACCATTGGATCATCACCAAACTTTAGTACATAATAGTACATAATATTTAAGGATATTAGGAACTAATGGATCAAGAATTTGACGTACGGATCTTCCCATATGTGTTTTCTAAGTTTGTAAATCTAAAGGTCGGCCGCCACTTAATTTTAGCGATTGGCAGAGATCCGATCTTTGGATTGTTCTGAAACTTTAGGATGTTGTTCTAGAAGCTTATTGAAACTCTTGGGAAGTTACGGATTGGAAATTCGAGGTGCTGATCTTTCGGATCAAGTTACGTAGGATTGTGGACCCTACCGTCGACATTTGACCGACGATTGACTTTTGGTTAATGGGTTACAAATCATTCTAGAACGTCTTTGGGGATGTGTTTTATGTAAGT